TGGAGGAGCTGATTGAGTTGGCGCCTCCAAATGGTAGAGGTTCTACAGCCGGAGGAAGAGATGGCGTAGAGGAGGATTGAAGAATCTGTTTGAAGATTGGGGCAGGATCGGTATCATGAGACAAGAACTCATAGTCAGCTGTTTTGTTCTGTTGAGTTTTTTTTAAGGAAAAACAGCATTCATCAAAGTTCACATTGCGTGAGATTATGATCTTTCTGGTGGTTAGATTATAGCACATGTACCCACAATGATTGTGAGGATAGCCTAGAAAGATACATTTTGATGATCTAGGAGAAATCTTGTCGAGATTAGATTGGTTAATATTTGGATGACATAAGCAACCAAATACTTTCAGGTGAGAGAATGATACCGGTTTTTGAAAAAGAACAGTGTATGGGCTTCTGTTTTGTATCGCTTTTTCAGGTAAGAGATTGAGTATATGGACCGCCGTATGTAAAGCTTCAGAAGGTGGAAGGTAGATGAGCTTGGAAGAGAAGGCTACGCACTACGTTATTTATTGTGTGTATCATCCTCTCCGATTTACCGTTTTGTTGAGAGCTGTATGGGCAAGAAAAATGGAAGGCTATACCATTAGTAACAAAGAAATCATGAAACTGAGAATTATTGAACTCGCCTCCATTGTCACATTGAAGTGACTTTATGTCTTTACCGAATTGGATTTTGACATAGGTGGTGAAGTGTTGAAATTTGGAGAATGTTTCATGTTTGTTTCGCATAGGGTACACCCATAAGAAGTGGGAGAAGTGATCAAGAAAGAGTACATAGTACCTGATCCCACTTATGCTTTGAACTGGCGAGGTCCATAAGTTTGAGTGTATGATTTCAAAAGGCTCTTTGATAGTGGTGTTTAAAGTATAGAAGGGAAGTTTTGTGTATTTTCCAAACTGAAAAGCTGAGCAAAAATGAAAAGAATCTCTTTTATTACATGATAAAGCTGAATTAGAAAGCAGACAATTTAAAGTTTGATCGCCAGGATGAACAAGGCGGCGATGCCAAACATCAGATGAAACATTAAGAAAAGTGGAAGGATGCGTAGTCGCTTTATTGTTGACGTTGTGAAGCGGATACAAGTATCCAGTGCTGTCACTGCAGAGAATTGTCTCCCTAGTCATTAGATCCTTCACTGAAAAACCGAAAGGGTCAAACTCAACAGAACATTTGTTATCCCTAGTAAAGCGACGTACAGAAATCAATTTTTTGATAATCGAAGGAGTGGAAAGAACATTATTTAAAGAGATAGGTCGAAGTTTTATAGGGAAAGAGATAGCACCAGATTAGTTAACTGGAATCCTTCATCCGTTAGCAACGGTGACTGTTTTCAAGTGCTAGAATTAAAAACAGACTTAAGATTACCTGTGGTGTTGGAGAGCAGTTGCTCCTGAGTCCATATACCACTGATTGTCAGAACGATCCATGAGCGTCATAGTGTTGAATGCTGAAGCGAAAGCTGCAGTTAGCTCATATTTCTTATTTCCAGCATTGGTAGCCGGGTGTTATTTAGGTCGTCGTCCGAGGATACCAGCTTGAGGGAATGGTGAATGAGGAAGTTGAGTCCAGGGATTGAATTGTTGAGCGGCCACATAGGATAGCTAGCTTGCCAAAATGGTGCATTCCATTGATTGTATTGTGGTCGAGTGTAGTTGTTTCTTCCTCTGCCTCTATTGTTTCCTCGTCCTCTGTTTCCTCTGTTTTGATTGTAGTGTGGGACTTGTTGTTGGTTTTGTTGAACGCTCTTGATCCGAGTTTGATACTGTAGAAGCAAGGACCTTGGAGGATGAGGATGAGTCATCAACAACCTTGGAAACAGACTTCTTTCCTCTGCCAAGACGGTCTTCCTCCAGCATCAACATTGATCGTGCTTCGTCAAAGGTTGTCGATGAATGATGACGTTGATGATGTTGTCATACTTTCCATTGAGACCGTTAAGCATGTGAGTGACCAAAGTTCGTTCTGATACTGGGGCATTCACGTTGGAAAGGAGATCTGTGATTGATTTGATTTCTTGGCAGTAGTCTTGAATGGAGATCACCTATCTATGTAGTGCGAAGCTTGTGATCAAGTTGGATTGCACGAGCCTCTTTGTTGTTACGAAAGAAGTTTTCAAGACGGATCCAGATCACACGTGACGTACCTCCAGTTTTTAAACAGGTTTTTGGACAGTCCCGTATAGCCAAAGATTTACTAAGCCGTCACGCTTTTTCAGACATCATCGTTATCATCTGCGGGTAGAGCTGTTCCGTCTAAGTGGCCTGAGAAGTCGAAGCTTTGGAAGTGGGTAAGAAACAGCTCTCTCCAAGCATCATAGGTACCGTCATCAACGTACAAGACGAAAGGAATGTGGGTTTTGATGTTGGTGACCCCATAGGCTCTCTCAAGTTGTGCTGGTTCAGCAGCCATAGAAAGAAGAAGTAGATCGAGAAATAAGAGAAAGAATTTTGAGAAGAGAATGGTTCAGGAATGAGAACCCTCTAATCCCATGTAAGTGAAGAAGATTTCCCTTGAAATACTTACGTATACAGTGAACTGAGAGATCTCAAGGAAATTCCTAACAAATAGGGGAATATACACAGCATATTCTAACTATACAAGAAGATAATACTTATCATGTAATAATCTTAATCTCCCTACTGTTAGATCATGATTTAGCACTAAATCCCTCCCACCAAAAGAGTTATATTAACAATATTATTGAGTATAGCCCAAGTCAGCACACTTTGGTCTCAAGGCCCAATACATGTAACTGGCCTCCCTTGAAGATTATTAGAAAAAAAAAGATCATTTGACTTACACGTGAAGTTTAAAAAGATGTTACTAAGTCAAAGATATTCCTCCTAAAGTTGTGCACGTGGAAGATCCTTGAACAAACTAAACTTCCCTAAAGATGTGGAAGTCAAAGAAAGACTAGGAGCACGTGCAACTAGGGCTGGGCATTTTATCCGTTATATTTGATTTGATTCGTTATTCGTTTCGATTCGATCCGAAAATTCCGGATATCCGTAAACTTTTGAATCAAAGCAAATACTAAAATTCAATATCCGTCAAAATCGAAGCAAATCACAAATATTAAAATTTTGGAAAGCGGATATCCGATCCGATCCGTAAATATATAAATATATGTATATTTTGATTATATTTAAAATTTTAAATGTATAAAATTGTATAATTATTATTCTAGCACATGATTTTGAACAATTCTATTCAAATTATTACTTATATAAAAGTATTACATAAAAAGAGAGAATTTTTTTTGACAATTATATTTTTTCTTAAATTTTCTGTTATTATAATTGTAACTTAAACTTTAAAAAATTACAATATCTATAAATTCACTAGTTTTTTTAAGTTTTATTTTATATATCATGCAAAAAAATATTTTTGCAAAGCAAATTTGTATCAGAATCTTAAGATTATTTGTACTAATCAAAATAGATGAGATATCCGTAAATATTCGTAAATATCCGCAAATATCTATTTATTTTCTGGTTATCCGTTTTTCCGGATATCCGTATTTTTACGAAGCAAAGCAAATACCAAAATTAGATATCCGTAACATTCGAAGCAAATCACAAATATCTTAAAAAACTCGGATATCCGATCCGTGCCCACCCCTACGTGCAACAACATGACGGAGAGGAAGAAACGAGCTCTTGGTATAAAAGAGGACAAGAGGTCGCTCTCGAAGGGGGATCTTTACAAGAAAATATATACATAAATAAAAGAAGACGTAATGCTAGAGAGGAAGGAGAAACCATGTTTCTCTTCTACATGAGGTCACGCTTGACAAAAGACATTATCCACACCTTTGGATGAGAGCTCAAGACTAAAAAGATCTCTTCACTCATCGAGAAATACGGCAATAATCACTTCTATGATTATCAAATCATTATATTTCAATCTTACTGGTCATGATGGGAAACCTTGATCATGCACGGCACGAGTTCGTATTCGTACTGCTATTTACACAAAACCGATAATCCACACAAGACCGACCGATGAACCGAAGTAACCCGACGTCATGCTTGATACCGATGAAACCGACATTTTTTGAGATGATCATAATCGAACTACGTTTAGACTTGATCCCATGACGGGTACGTTGGCAGCTCGATCCCGAGTTCAGTCACGATCTCCCTTCTCTCGATATCTCTATGCTATTCGGTATAGGAATAAAGTCCATTTTTGTCGATTCATACCTAACTACATCATTATGTTCAGAGGATATTGTTGCCCACAATCTTTTCTCTTCTCCAGTTTTACATTCAAACACTAACAAATATTTAGGGTGGATTTTAGAATGTACACCTACCATAGACTTTTTATACGTAGATTCTTCCAGTGGACTGAAATAAACTTCGGAGCGGAACCCAAATCTTTCGTGGATAATCCAGTTTCACAAGAATGGATTGAGATCCCTCCGCCGAGGCATCTGGAACTCTAGTTTGGTAACGCGTGTTGTTAACGGCGTCGTTTTCTTCAAAGATGATAATCAGTGTCGGATTATACCTCTCCATGGACTCTATAACAAGTGCGTTAAGAGATGCTTGGCTACTTCAGGTGGACATGTTATCTATGTTGAAATATTGTATCAAAGATTGAAAGTATGGAAGCTGAATAATAACTACTACTCTAAGAGTGGTGAATGGTGGCAGTTGACAAGGGAGGAGATCAACATGGGATTTGTCGGCTCTGATGTCAATTGTTTTCCAATTTGGTCTATCTATGGAGTCGACGACACAGTTGCGTGGTGTCTGGTAACTTAAGCACACAATAGTTTATTGTTCATAAGAAAAAAAGAGACTTGGAGTGATGGTAAAGGTTGTTGGCGCGTAAACTCGTCTTCTTCTACAAATCATATGAGAGATATGCATGACACTATGTATCATGGTCTGCTCTTTTGTGATCGACTTAGTTGCAATGTGACATTAGGTGTGTAATGTATTAATGACTAAAGTTTGAATCTGTTTCTTTCATTTTGTCATATACTCAAGTGAGTGATTAAGAAGCTCAAGTAAGAGAGATTGTGAAGACAAGACAAGGTTTTGTAAATGCAAGCCAAGTCGAATTGCTGATTTATCCTTAAACAATAAGACAGACAATCCCCTCCACTCTCTTGACTCTGTTAGTGCGTCCTCCACAAGCGGATTCTGATGCTTCTTTGCTTCTCGAAATTAGGATTTATTGAGAAGAAAGTGAAGAAACAAATTCGAAAAAACACTGAATGAAATAACTAATATTTATAAATTACTGAACAGTTTCTTTTCGAGTTCCATAGACAGCAAAAACTTATCGTCATTATCATTTATTATCATCACCATCATTTGTTGGCCTTGAGCCATTCGAGTATCCGTTTCTCAGACTCAGAGAGCTCTGCTTCTGTCTTCCCCTTTGTAGATCCTTCAACAAACTCAAAGTAGTCTTTATAGTTCCTCTTGTAATAACTGTCCAATCTCTGTTTTAATTCCGCCAACAATATCATGAGAAAAATATTCACATAAAAGCGTTTTAGTAAACTCTGTTTTTCCCTTACCTCTTTGTCGTTCTTGGTCTTGTTTTCCTCACTCTTCTTCAAATACTCTGGAAACGACGTTGTAATTTAGGCACAAGAAACATCGAAATGCGAAGAAACACAGATTAAAGAATGTTTACTTACTCTGGAGAAGCTGGTCGCTGGTGGTCAAAGCGGCAGCGAGGAAGGAAGAGGAGGAGGAGAAGATAATGTTTCTGCGTCTTAAATCAGTGGTTAAAGAATCGCGCTTTGTATCGTTTCTGCGTACAGCTTGAACATTGGAGGAAGCATATTTGTTAACAGTTACTGTTAAAGCCATGAGTATGCTTTGCCCTACGGAACTCATCTTTCCTCTTCTTCACTTCACTTCACCACCACAAGGATAAGGTGTATTTTTTTTAAAAAAAATCTTATCTACGTTACAAAGAAGCAAACATTCTGTTTGTAGAAAGGTCCCTAACGATAGATTTTTACAAGTTGAACCCCTGATCTATAAAAATAAGTATTCAACCCCACATAAAATATTTGAAAGCTTACAAAAAAGAGTCCATCATTATATAATTTAACAATTGAAACCCTGACTTAAATTTGAAGTGATACTAACTGCAATGTAGGACGATGAACATGTTGACAAAGATTGTTGTCCAAAAAACAAAAAAAAAGAACATGTTGACAAAGATTATTATATCTTTGGGGCTTAGTGTAAGTCATTTATAAGCTGTGGTATGTGTAACGTAATGGTGAAATATATTAGTTTGGAATGAAATGTAGTGTATCTAAAAATTTGTTATATGTTTCTTTGCCTTTTCTTTAGTGTTGCAAAACTTCAAGAATGTACCTCAATACTTCTACGGGCTTAATCCAGCTCAAATGGATATGTTCATGACTGAGGATAGCCCTGTCGGTAGGCAAGCTGAGAAAGTGATAGAGGTTGTCTGGTATGAATGTGGCAGATCCTAGAAGATATAGTAAGAGTGTCCAAATGTACAGAGGCGGAGGAGGATCGGGAGACCAAGAACTGCTACTCCTGATTTGCCTTCTTTACTCTTGGATGCTCGGATATGCTTGCTACCTTGGCATGCCAGTAAGACTTTCCATGTTTTGATTACTATGTTTCTTCTCGGCTCAGGCATTGATCTTGGTGCATTTTACTTGTAGATCGTACCTGCAGTTACTGAGTTACTCGTTGCTCAGTTTATGTGGTTAGACTATGACAACCCTGCAAATCCCATCTACCTATGAATTATCTGGAGAACTAACCTCCTTGTTACTTTTGACGAGCTTATCTGAACTGCTACTTCCTTTTGCTAATGCCATGTAGAATGAGAAGATAGAGACTGTTGGCTCAGAAACAGAAGCTTATGCCATAGCTGACACCATTTCTGTAAGTCTCCTCATTAGAAGAAACTGTGCATTTATCTTTGTTATGTGCGAATAAATCCTGAACCAACTTTAATCCTCAAACTGATGCTATTTGTTTATGTGGCTCAAAAAATATTGCAAATCACATGTATACACTATCAATTGTGGCATGGCTTCTTGGTCAAGCGGCAATGCTTTTTTCTCTCGGTAAAAAGGGTTACCGTGCCCAAACATATATACTTTAACCTTGCAGTTACAAGTTTTTGATGGTTTGTGGTGCAGCAAAACTATATCTGCCAAAAGTAAACAGATCGATGGAGCTGCCATAGATATGTGGATAAAGGTAGCCGTTGCATTCACACTGTACCCTTTTATGTAATCCCCTGAAATGTCTTCACGTGAACTGTATAACTGAATATTCCTCCGGCTGGCAGGCCAAGGAACTTGAAGCAAATACTGAGTACTACATCGAGCTGTTAGCCAAGGGAACGGGTAAACCCAAAGAGCAGATCAACGAGTACATCAAGCAACCTAAATATCTCCAAGCAGAAGCAGCCATTGACTATAGAATTGCAGACAAGATAGCTGACTCGCAAGATAGTTTGCTTTGAGAAACGGGTAAGTTTCAGATTATGCCTTATATACAATTTAAATTATCTGTGTGCTGGCTTCATTCATGCTAAAAATGGAAAATATGTATGTCTGGGGTTTAGGATTACGATGGGTCTCTTGCACAGAGAGCCATGGGAAGGCCTGGAGGGGGCAGTCCAACAGCTTCAGCCGGAGTAAGATGAGATCAATTCCACCAGAAGAAGAGTTTGAATCACAATTTACCTGGTCACTTTGGAATATGTAGCTATTACAATATATGTATAAGCAAAAAAATGTAGTATTAACATGCAAAAGTGTTGGCAATAAGAAGAAATCACATACAAAAGTTTTCTCTTGCTGTGGTGCATATATATATCTAACACGTAACTCTTCTCACTGAGGCGTGTCCATAGTATGAGTACAGTCCAACAAGAACACAGCTATTATCCCAACCGTTGCAGAATATCACTTGCAACATAATCACATTAAAAATCGGTCCATGGCAAGACTCAAATAAATAAATAGATATTATCACACAGCAAGTTAATCTTGATAAGCAACAAAGTCGATCACAAAAGAGCAGACCTGAAACATAATAGTGTCCTGATTATAAACTAAGAGACTAAACAAGGCATATAACCATTGAATAATAGACTTGGAGAAAGTGACACATGAAGGATGTCAATTTGGCGGGAGAGGCACTGGATCCATCCACAGTGGGAGCACAAGTATGAACTTTGTTAAACTTTTAAATATACCTTCCAAATACTTGTTACTTTGTTATGTACCTTCCAAATACCTGTTAGAATCGGACGTGTTTATGCGCCAACAACCTTCACCATCACTCCAAGTCTCTGAATCCTTATGAAGAGTAAACTCTTGTGTCCTCAAGTTAGCAGATACCACGCAACTGTGTTGTCTACTCCATAGATAGACCAAATCAGCATCAAAGGGATTCACTCCCAAAGGAAAACAATCGACATCAAAGGCAAGAGAGGAGGGCATGTTGACCTCCTCCCTTGTCAACTGCCACAATTTACTACTCTTATTAGAGTAGTTATGATACAGCTTCCAAACCTTCAATCTTCGATCTAATATCTCAACGTAGACAACATGTCCACATGAAGTAGTCAAACATCCCCTACCGTGCTTGTTAAACGGGACAGGGAGAGGTATATCCCGGCACTGATCATGATCAGCATAGAAGTCATGGGATACAAGAACTCCAGGGCCAGAAGGATCACCCACTCTCTTCTCCCACACATAAAGCATCCCGTTGAGATTCAAGGGCCTGCGAAAGCCATTTTGCCGGATAGGACAAGGGGAACGAAGCCGCTTGAAAGCCCATGTCTCTGTCTGAGAAGAATACACGTACATGGTTTCTGTCAGTAGTAATCTCAACGTAACAAGTATTAATAACTTTGAAGCTCGAAACGACACCGTTCACAACATGCGTTACCAAAGTAGAGGGAACGGTAGAGGCGGAGGGATCTCAACCCATTCTTGGGAAACTGGATTACCCACGAAAGATTTGGGTTTGATATTGCGAGATTTTGTCAGTGCCGAAGAATACTTGAAGCAAAACCAATCCATTGGAGGAAGCTACGTAGTAATAGTTTAAGGTATGGTGGTTGAGATACGGTTGATATAAGAGGCTAGGGATTTGGGAAGAGCCCATGTCTCACATCCATGGAAGCCTATAGCTACTGTGATGGGATTCTCATACTTGATTGGGAACATTAGGGACCACGAGGAAGATGAGTTTCGGTGAAGAGATACGAAGAGGCTGCGGAAGTAAGGACATTCTATGAGTGATCTCCATTGTTTGCACACTGATTTGAATCTCGCGATGCTTCTCAGAGGTAACCTTGCGATGATCTCCACCACGATTGACTCTGGGATTGATCTTCTTTTCCTTCCCGATTCCATTGGCTTTTAGTTTAGGGTTTCTTCATTTTGAGCTTTCGTTAGGATGATGGAATGAAATTTAGTCCGGAGAAACCGGTTTAAAATAAGAGTAGACCGAACCGATCGTAACCAAATTTGTCGTTAGCAACTTGTTTATTAAAGGGCTTATTAGCTTAGTAGCCAAATCTGGGATGTATGTTAAGTATATAACATTGATGTTGACATAATGTAGTCTTTGACATTTAGCATTTTTTTTATCCGGTATTATTCTTTCCACTAACAGGTATCCAGTAACATGGTATAAAACTAAATGACGTGTTCGTTAACTGTAGGTGAGTCAAATCACCAAACGTATGAATCGCATAGAGAAACAAGTTAAGTATTTCTGTTCCATTCTACATAGGTCATCCCTTCCATTCCGTTTTTATATTCATATGTTCCATTTCGTTATCTATTAAGTAGGCTTACCACATATAGTATTAGTAGGTGGGTTAAGAATTAGGTTAATCTTTTTCTTTTTCTCACCTTAATCTCTTTCTTTTAGTGTTCCATTTACTTATAAATCCCATAAATTGTCATTTAAAAGACAATTAAGAAAATATAAACACTAGTACATTGGAGATTAACCGTTTTCTTATGGTAAAATGCTATGGAAATATAAACCCCATTTCAAAATGCTATGGACGCTAATCACTAAACAAAAATTAAGAAAATATAAACCCCAATCCATTAACGATTAACCCCCTTATTATGATAATCTTCAAACAGTTTACATATTTCTGTTCCATTATAACTAGATCATCCATTCCATTCCGTTTTTGTATTCATATGTTCCATTCTGTTTTTTTATTAATTAGGATTACTACATACGGTATTAGGAGGTAGGTTAGAAAAGTGACTAGTACATTGTCATTTAAAAAGTTATGGACGCTAATCACTCAACAAAAATTAAGAAAATATAAACCCTAATAATTTGGCGATTAATCCCTTTCTTATGTTAAAATGATATCAAAATATAAACCGCATTTAAAATGATATGGCCGCACAATCCATTAACGATTAACCCCCTTCTTATGATAATCTTCAAACAGTTTACCTATTTCTGTTCCATTATAACTAGATCATCCATTCCATTCCGTTTTTGTATTCATATGTTCCATTCCGTTTTTTTTTATTAATTAGGATTACTACATATGGTATTAGGAGGTAGGTTAGAAAAGTGACTAGTACATTGTCATTTAAAAAGTTATGGATGCTAATCACTAAACAAAAATGAAGAAAATATAAACTCTAATAATTTGGCGATTAACCCCTTTCTTATGTTAAAATGATATCAAAATATAAACCGCATTTAAAATGCTATGGACGCTAATCACTAAACAAAAATTAAGAAAATATAAACCCCAATCCATTGGTGATTAATTCCATTCCATTGTTTAACTATTTCATACAACTGAGTATATTATCCACTATGTTAGATGTGCCATGCTATATCGTTCCATCTATTCC